TGCAAGCCGGATGAGGAATTCGTATAGACTGGGATTCGAACCCGGTTCTTCTCATTAGAAGGTGAGCGCTCAATCCCCTGAGCCATCGTGGCTCTCTACAGCTGGTTTGAGGGTATATGGAGCCACTGCATACGACACACGGCTGACATTGATTCATGGTACGCTTGCATACTCATATATTATTACAACTCATATATTATTAATGGTGGTGCAATTAAACTTCACTGCTCTGTTATGTTCTTCTTTAGACCTAAAATTTATATTTTAATCTACTAAAGCCATCCATATTTGTTTTATCGGCACTTTTCGTACTTCGGACAGTAATTACACAAAAGTTGAGGATGCATACAAAATGATATGTAGAACAAAATATGCAAACTATTCTAAAAATATTGATTATACCTATTCAAGATAGTAAATATGTATAAAAAAGAGATTTTATTGATGCTTTTTTCAGTGTCTAAAAGGTGTTTATTTATTTGTTTGCTAACGACAACCAACGTATTCCAAGTAATGTCATAAAATAAATTGTATTATAAAATTTCAATAAATATCATTTGTCAGAAGAAGTGGATTTACCTTAATCGAAACTAATGCAGATGGAGGTGTTTTGAAAAAATCCTCAATTAGTTTCTCCCTGAAAATATAATTTACAACAAAAGTATTTACTGAGAGATTTTTTAATGCTGACAGATTATATAATTAGGATAAATTGAACCAGAAAGAAAAGGGAAATGAAATCCGTAGTGCGTCAAAATCACGTTGTTGATTTTCCTCGCTGGTAAATGATATCGGTGCAGAATATCGTGCAATATTGAAAGTATATCCTATACAAAAAATTTTAATTTGTACTCACATCCGTACAAAAGTATCTTCCATCAGTTTTACCTTATACTCATATTAGGAAGTAAAATTCTGTGATAACTTGTATAGAATAGAGCAGTGGTGCGCAAACTAGGGGTCGCCAGAAGTTTTTTGGGGGTCGCCAAATTTTCATGAAATGCATTATCCTTGCATGCTGCATACCATACAGTGTACTTATAAAGAGTGAAGCGTCGTCACTCCCTGTTTAATTGCAATTTCATGCTCTCCACTCTTTCTGATGGTGCTGCAGCATTAACAGGTTCGAATAAGGGGCTCAGAGGCTTAATTCAGAAGGTGGCGCCTCATACGGTATTTAATCATTGTATGATTCATCGGCAAGCTCTTGTTGCAAAAGATATGGATGAAGAATTGCGCAACGTATTACAAGACGCTGTTAGTTCAATTAACTACATTAAATGCAACAGCCGTCTTTTTTCAATACTTTGCAATGAGATGGGCTCAACGTATGAGAGATTACTGTTACACACCGAAGTCAGATGGCTTTCACGTGGGAAAATACTACGACGGATATTTGATTTGAGAAATGAAGTGTACATGTTCTAAATCGAAAAGAAACATAGATTGGCAAGTTATTATATCAATGAAGTTTGGCTAGGGAAGCTGAGCTATTTAGTTGATATTTTCGAAAAACTTAACGACTTAAATTTGAGCTTGCAGGGTGAGAATTCAACTATCATAACTGCAGCCAGTAAAATTCAAGCTTTTAAGAATAAGCTTAGTCTCTGGCAAACTGAACTGAATAAAAACAACACCAAGATATTCCCTTGCTTTAACGATTTTATCAAGGAAAATAATATAGATATATTTACATTTAAAAACATCATTTCCAATCACATTGAAAAGTTAAAGAAAAATTTTTCGAGAAGATTCGAGGATTTTCCTGAAAACGATCTTGGTTGGATTCGTGATCCATTTTCCTTTGACATATGCAGTTCAACTCTTCAAATTAGTGAGAAAGAGCAATTGATAGATCTAATTAGTGATTATACTCTTCGAAATCAATTTAAGACTCAGCCTTGCCAAAAATTTTGGCTATCCGTGGAAAAACAATATCCCGTTTTATGCAAGAATGCCATCAGAGTGTTAATACAATTTGCATCAACGTATTTATGTGAAACTGGATTTAGCAAACTAGTTTCAATAAAAACTAAATACCGCTCGCGTTTAAACCCTGAAGATGATATGCGAATTGCAATTAGCAACATACATCCAAACATCGATGAGATAATTAGAAACTTGCAGCCACATACATCTCATTAAAGGGCAATTTACTGATTTTTGTGTTATACAAAAAGTATTTTCTTAAAATTATAAATAAAATTAATATGAGTCAAATATGATGATGATTTTATTCGATGAAACGAAAGAAATGCGCGAAATATACATCTTATTTGTGAACATTTATCTCCAGGGGTCGCCAAAAATTTTCTCTCTACTAAAGGGGTCGCTGTCGAAAAAAGTTTGCGCACCACTGGAATAGAGGACAGAAAAGTTTTACTTTTGTTAAATTTTCTTTTTAATACTGTGTATGGGGGAGGTTTAAAGCAATGAAATGACTATGAATGCCACCTTTAGTTTGAACTAATATCAATATTATAATCAGATTATTTTGTTTGTAACATTTAATATTTTATATAATTCGTCGAATTTCAAGTTAAATTTTCATAATGGATTTTGTTGTTGTTGTAGTTCATTTACGTCGCACTAGAGCTGCACAATGGGCTATTGGCGACGGTCTGGGAAACATCTCTGAGGATGATCCGATGACATGCCATCACAATTTTGATCCTCTGCAGAGGGGATGGCACCCCCTCTTCGATAGCCCGACGACCTGCGCGCGAAGTCGATCATTTTACAGTAGAACAGTTTAACGAGGACCCATACCGCACACCATCGGTCCCTACGCTGACTGATCCAAGTGGTCACCCACCCGCTCACTGACCGCAGTCAGTGATGCTTGATTTCGGTGATCTTCTGGGAACCGTGTCATAACGATCAGATCACTACGAAATTTACATGATGGATAAAATTTCAACTTTTCAAAACGACACAAGACTTCTAAGTATAATTTTTTTTACAAATCAGTGTAAAAAAAAAAGATAAAAAGAATAATGAAATCAATTAATTGACTGTTAATGAAACAAAAAAGACTATAAAAAAGAAAACTTACCTTCCGATGAGAGGGATGGCATCTGAGAAATTATTTTTAAAGAATTGAATGAGGTTGTCAGGTGTCTTGATGGATTCAAATATTTCAAATGGCATGAAGAGAGTGACAGTGTAGGTCTTGTCTTGATTGGGCAGAGCAATCATCATGAAAGTGTGCCTGGGCCATATGTGAAGGTAGTTCTTTTCCATGGCAAACTAAAAATGATCCATCTCCCATCATTCAACATAAATGTTTTTCTAACATTCCTAACTATTTTTGTCCCATCTCTAAAGCCACCCTAACCCCCTTTTTATATTGGGAACACAAATTAGTCGGTTCGTTTTTTTGTGGTTAAAAATGCATTGTATTTCAGAATTATTTCAGATTAATCAAAGTATTGCCTATTGCTGGCTACTACCTTTTCCCACCTCTCAGGCAATTTTCGAATTCCATCTCTAAGAAATTTCTGTCTTTTAAGGCGATCCAAGTTAGGAGTCAATTTTCCATTTCTGCGAAAGAAGTGAACCGGTGATTTGCCAAATCATACTGCATCCAATGGAACAACCGCTAATCAGAAGGAGCAATGTCCGACGAATACAGCGGGTGCTGTAAAATATCCCACTTGAGCGTTTCAAAATAATTTTTTACGACTTTTGCGACACGAGGCAGACAGTTATCATGCAGAAGATTAACTTTTTCATCTCTTTGCTCGTATTCCGGACGTTTTTCTCGTAGAATTACACACATTAACCCGGTACACATTTGCCCGGTATGCCCTACATCAATGTCTTTTTAAAGTCAAGTGCGACTGCTCAGCGCTATACATTTAACCGGTACTCCGAATACTGATGTTTCTCCTAATCTATCCTCAGCAGATATTAAAATATCGAATAAATATAATAATATCAACGAATAAAATTTTATCAAATCTAATATAACAAATATTTCGGACATTCACTAAAGCGACTATGTGATTGTTGACATTCACCGGTGAAAGTCAACATTCTCTCAAAGAGAGAAACTAACTATTTAACAGACGCTTTGGAGCTCTGGACCCTTGTTTTCGATTTGGATTACGGGCCTTTTTTGAATGGCACAACCTTACAATCAATTGGGTAACTATTTTTCCCATGACAGAAAGTCTTGGGAGGAAAAAACTCTTAAAAGGTGCCTCAATAACATTACACTTTTCTAAAAAAATTTAAGAATATTTTAATTTTATTGCATACGTATAATAAAATTTTTTGTTACTAATACGTATAATAAAAATTTAAGTAATACGTATAATAAAAATTTAAGTAATACGTATAATAAAAATTTAAGTAATACTTATAATAAAAATACGTATAATAATTTTTTTTATTAGTACGTATAATAAAAATTTTATCAATTAATAATAGTACGTATAATAAAAATTTAATCAATTAATAATAGTACGTATAATAAAAATGTTTTGTTATTAATCAATTCCTTTTAAATTTGATTATAGGAAAGAGATTTGAAATTATAACTGTTAATATTCTTCCGCAGTTTTAAGTGCAGTACATTCCCGATATCTCAAAGTTCTAGGAACAGGTAAAAAAATTTCGACATAGCGAATTTTAGAGATAACAAATTCAGAACTAAATATGTTCTAAAAAGTAAAAAAAAAAGTATTCTGAAATATTACTCTAAGAGTCTGGGAAACATAAGAATAACTACCAATAAATATATATGAAATGTTAGTTGACTAAGTCAAAATACAACAATGATAATTTAAAAGTAAGACACGGACAAGTATGCATTATATAGAAAGAAATTGATTCACAATGAACTTAGAAGGTGATTCTTCAAAAGAAATTTCCTTTTCCATTTCGAAAAAAATTCGACGTAGCAAGGTTTTGAAAAGAATCACTTCGACATAGGAATTAAAAATAACATTAGGTAGATAGGGTAAACTAACCAGTGAAGGAACACTTAAGCTTCGCTTGCCTTTTAAAAAATCATATTAATTTCAAAATTCGTAATATCAGTTAAATGACAGTGTCAACATATTTGTTACTAATTGCAAACTATGCAAAAAAAATTTCGAGAACTTACATAATATTGTTTTAAAATTTTGGTGGTTCAAATAACAAGTAGTAAGAAGACCCAGTGAAGGAACAGCTCTTACCAGTGAAGGAACACAAAATTGCCCAGTGAAGGAACACTTAATTTTGGTTATTTTTTAATGCTCTTTATGAATTTTTTAGCCATACAAATACAGTCGGACATCTATTTAACGAACTTCCATTCTACGAATTTCCCTATTTTACGAATTTTTTCGAGGAACCAAGAGCATTTTGGAAATTTTTTTGTAAAATAACTTCCATATAGCGAAGTGAATTTTCTATTTAACGAACTTTTCATTGAGATCCAATTTCCCTATTTTCCAAAATATTTCTTAACATTTTAAACTTGTTAAAGCAATTTATGGGGGAAATGACATTAAATTAATTTTCGAAGCCACTGCTTTATGAAATGTATTACTGTTTTGTCTAAAAATTATCTTAGAGAAAGCAGTAAATTCCCTTTCCCTTTTTGTTTGCACTTCAAACGAAAAACTCACTTCAAATTAACGGATTTCATCCGTAGCAATTTAACTTAACGCAAGTGGTAATGTATGTTTAAAATTACTTTTATAATAAATGCAACTATATTTTTATACATAAATTTAGACTTTTTTTAGTTGAAAATGTATATAGCATGATAGTGTAACACTGGATAATGTTTTGCTCTATTCTTGCTTTCCATGCAGATTTCTTTTATGGTTGAGATTTATATGATAAATAGTAGATACTAGTTTACAAGATAAAAGTGTATCAATTGCTATTTTAATTATGTCTAGTGTTTAAGAATTTAAAACCTGTTTTGTGTTGTTTAAGTATTTTAAGAGGTGATTTTCTATTTAACGAATTTTCCATATAACGAGCTTATTATTGGTATTAAGTGATTTTGTTAAATAGAGGTCCGACTAAAAACAAGACTATTTGTGAAATTATGAGATACAAGTACTTGTAAAATGCTAACTTTTTTCTGTAATCATGAACTAGAAATTAAAGTGATGTTAAATACAAAATAAATTTAAAAAAATCGTTCTTTCTTATAATTTGACAGTCAAATCTAAATCATTGTGTCATCCGATGCTGTTTATTATCATTATTATTTTATCACCTTTTTGTTTACTCTTTTTCCTCTTATTTCTTGAAGCTTTTTTTCTTTTTTAAGTATTTTTTCTTTCTTTTTCTTTTCCATGTTCTCTTGTTTTAATGTTTTTTAGATCTTTCAGCCTCTTGAAATTTTTGCCATTTCTCTGAAGTTAGTGCAAAAGGTAATTTATTCGCTTTTCTTCTTATTTGACCTTTCTTTTTATCATCAATATTTGGCCAATGTAAATGGCTCTTCCAAACTTCTTCTGATTTTTCAGCAACATTTCTAGAATGCCTTTCTCGAAAATAGACGGGGGAAAGGTGTCTTGAAGTTTGAGGCAAATCCATCTCTTGTTGACTTATATCTAGAGGATCTTTAGAAGTACTGATTTTACTTACAGAATCATTTCTTTTTTCAACTAAGAGAATCAGCATGAGGACTCATTTCAAATTCGATATCTAATATGCATTCATTATCAATACTAGCTTCAGTTCCTAAGTTTGACTTAACCAAGTGGTCTTCTTTTAATACGTGCTTCTTCCATATTGGAAAAAGTACAGGCTCTTGGACATTTTCGATATTAGACTCTTCCGTCAATGCTGTGTTAAAAATTTACAACATATCTTGAGGGATTTCCCTCTCAAGCTTCTGAAGAAATTGAGTATCGTTTCTGTTTAACTTTGTTTTTTGTTGAGGAACTTACTTCTAAATTCTAACATTGTAAAGTAGTTTCTATAAATTATATAATCACGTTGCTATCCTATAATGATAGCTTATTAGGAGTTCTTGGTGCAAAAGCCAGCGAAAAAATGTTCTATTTTTATGATTATATTTAATTAGTTTTCGATTTGTAAACATAGTTTATTAAGTTGCCTAACATTTGATGTAACTACACACCCCGTTAATAAATATAAATTATAATTTTTTCATAAATTAAGCTATTAAATTAACATTTTGAACTGAAATTATTTCAGGAATTATTCATACAATTTTTAACAAAATTTCGGTTGTCCTCTATATAGCAGAATTACTTATCCTAGAGTCATGTAAAATCATATATCACACATTACTGTTCATTCACTGGAAGTATTCCCAGTGTAGGAATATGCCTGTTTCTTCACTAGTTAGAAGCTGTTTTTTGTCTCTTAAACAAAATTTTGATGTATAATATGACTAAAAGTACAAGAAAATTACAAAATTTCTTTTATTTTCATTAACTGAGAAATGAACCCAGTAAAGAAACACTTGTTCCTTCACTGGTTTTTCAGCGTTTGGTGATCCAGTGAAGGAACATGCCTGTTTCTTCACTGGTTGGAAGTTGTTTTTTGTCTTTTAAACAGAATTTTGATGTATAATATGACTAAAAGTACAAGAAAATTAAAAAATTTCTTTTATTTTCATTAACTGGG